AACTGGGAGATAAGAACAGAAGTGCAGTTTGAATGCAAAGGACATATTAGCAGTGAATTTTGCTACCTATAATTAAATCAAACAACAAAGGTTTACCACTAAAATGCTGGCAACTTACTTATTATCAAATACCATACTACGTCTAAAATATCAATCATCATCTTTAAAGGATGTTACAATCTTAAGCTTAATAATGAAGGTTACTTAATACTAAGTTTGCTAATACAGACAGTGAGTGAGTAATATTTCTCACCCATGTCAGGCCACAGCCGGCTGTCCTTGGTCAAACCACAATTCCTGAGAATCAGTCTCTGTGCCAGGTGTCCTTGCTAGAGGAGAAGGTCCACCAGGGTCCTGGGGAAAGTGTTCGGAGATCTTTTTTGATCAAAAATAGGACCAGGCTTTTATAGAATAAAGTGGATTGACTGCTGCCATTTAACCATTAGCCATACTTGCGACCTCTCTCATTGCAGAATAAAAGGAAAACAGTACAAAAAAACCCTGGAGGCCTTGTTCTCACCAATCAAACTCTGTTGTTTATCTGTTTGCTAGTACTTTATGTCTGTTTTGGGCCTGGTTGTGGCTGAGCTGAGCTCTGTGTTCTTCAACACCGGAGAGCAGCTGGTGTTATGCACATCCACTTGGGCTCTGTTTGTACCTGTCAAGGTTGTCACCAGCACAGAGTTTGCTCGGCCTTTTCCCTTCTCGTGGGAACCTTTCACTGCAAGCCAGGGCCTGAAAATGAGAGACAAAAAGCAGTTGAATCATAAAAGGGGACTAAGGCAGGCATATTGAGAGATGGAGCACCCTGCTACAAGTTAGAAACACTTTTTTTTTCTTTCCTCACCCTGCCATGCCTTCTTATTTTTTCCTTTGACTTTTTTTTTTCACTTTCCAGAGCTTATCCATTCCAGTAACAGCAAGGAAATGCTACTGCTGTGGAAATTTACATGAATTTATCCTAGTGAAGCCTGGGTGAAGCATTAATGAAAAAGCAGCACCTCTATTTGGAAATTCTTTATATACTACATCTCAGATACTACATCTATTTTGAACAGATAAACAGAGTCCTCAGAAAATAAAATGCTTCACGTCACAGCATTACTACATGGTGACTTTTAAACTCTCCAGTTCATTGGCATGGTCTGCTTTCCTTAAGATGCCTAGAACTTGGGTCACATCTCCATCTATGTGAGGGATGCCAATGTCCACTCCTCAGAACTTAGCAACCCCAGATCCAATTTAGGTGAGCCATAGCCTGTCTTTGGCACTTTTCAGGTTTAGTAACAACGCATATCTTTGAAAACATAATTAATACACATTCATCACTTCTGTACTATTTTTTTTTTCCCCACAGCTTTTTATTGAAATTCTCAAGTTCCTATTAAGTTTTATGACAGATTTGGACTAAGTTGTCAGTGGTCATTTGCTAATAAAGGAAATTATTAAAACCAAGTTAAGCTGTTTAATAGCTGGCCTAAAATACAGGAACTCTGGAGAATATTTTCTCTCTGCAGACATATGTTTTGATCATGCATTTAGCTGTTTTAATGGCTTAAATAGCAATTTCACTTTCTGTAAGTACATCATTAGCTATAATAGCCCTCAAGATAAAGATGTCCTGTAATTTACTCACAAACAAGACATTCGAATAGATACAGAAGAGGACAACTACAGCTAGCAAAGAAAGTATGTGTGGTGGAGGGGTCTGCTCTTCACTGATAGAAATGGGTATCACGTTCAAATAAGTTTATACTAATGGAATGTCTTCTTCTGAGGAGCATTTCAGTAAGACAAACATGTTTCTTTGGAAGATGCTGTATAATAGTTCTTTTAGCATGCATTTTCAGGTACCTCAGCCTAAAGAATTTATCTTCCTTCACTTGAAGACAACATCCTGCTTTTTTGTTGATGCTGGCTGCAGCAGTAACAAAAGCAAAGAGACTGAACTGATACAGTCCCAAACAGAATTCTTGCTAAACATTTCTACTGTTCATTCAGAAATAAACTATCTTTAAGCTTTAAAACAATGTTTTAGGAGGGGAAAAGAGAAGTAGTTTGAAAAAGGGGACTAAGGCAGGCATATTGAGAGATGGAGCACCCTGCTACAAGTTAGAAACACTTTTTTTTTCTTTCCTCACCCTGCCATGCCTTCTTATTTTTTCCTTTGACTTTTTTTTTTCACTTTCCAGAGCTTATCCATTCCAGTAACAGCAAGGAAATGCTACTGCTGTGGAAATTTACATGAATTTATCCTAGTGAAGCCTGGGTGAAGCATTAATGAAAAAGCAGCACCTCTATTTGGAAATTCTTTATATACTACATCTCAGATACTACATCTATTTTGAACAGATAAACAGAGTCCTCAGAAAATAAAATGCTTCACGTCACAGCATTACTACATGGTGACTTTTAAACTCTCCAGTTCATTGGCATGGTCTGCTTTCCTTAAGATGCCTAGAACTTGGGTCACATCTCCATCTATGTGAGGGATGCCAATGTCCACTCCTCAGAACTTAGCAACCCCAGATCCAATTTAGGTGAGCCATAGCCTGTCTTTGGCACTTTTCAGGTTTAGTAACAACGCATATCTTTGAAAACATAATTAATACACATTCATCACTTCTGTACTATTTTTTTTTTCCCCACAGCTTTTTATTGAAATTCTCAAGTTCCTATTAAGTTTTATGACAGATTTGGACTAAGTTGTCAGTGGTCATTTGCTAATAAAGGAAATTATTAAAACCAAGTTAAGCTGTTTAATAGCTGGCCTAAAATACAGGAACTCTGGAGAATATTTTCTCTCTGCAGACATATGTTTTGATCATGCATTTAGCTGTTTTAATGGCTTAAATAGCAATTTCACTTTCTGTAAGTACATCATTAGCTATAATAGCCCTCAAGATAAAGATGTCCTGTAATTTACTCACAAACAAGACATTCGAATAGATACAGAAGAGGACAACTACAGCTAGCAAAGAAAGTATGTGTGGTGGAGGGGTCTGCTCTTCACTGATAGAAATGGGTATCACGTTCAAATAAGTTTATACTAATGGAATGTCTTCTTCTGAGGAGCATTTCAGTAAGACAAACATGTTTCTTTGGAAGATGCTGTATAATAGTTCTTTTAGCATGCATTTTCAGGTACCTCAGCCTAAAGAATTTATCTTCCTTCACTTGAAGACAACATCCTGCTTTTTTGTTGATGCTGGCTGCAGCAGTAACAAAAGCAAAGAGACTGAACTGATACAGTCCCAAACAGAATTCTTGCTAAACATTTCTACTGTTCATTCAGAAATAAACTATCTTTAAGCTTTAAAACAATGTTTTAGGAGGGGAAAAGAGAAGTAGTTTGAAAGACTTAAAGGGTTAACCAAAAAGCAAGGCATTTCTTGTCTTGCACCAAACAATAATTCTAGCATTCTAGCACAAGAATGATGAATGCTATTCTTCACCTGTTGGGTTAATGATATCCTGCTTGGTCTGGAGACAGCATGAAATGGTATTTTCTGTATTCTACTTCACATTAAGGTCAGCCAGAAAATAACTACATTAGCAATATTCCCCTACAGACTTTTGGCCTTTTAGAGGATTGATGCTAAGGTTACTCAATAGTTTGCCAAGCTTTAAATAGTCTTGTGTCTTCATTGTCCAAGTTCATTATGTATTAGGGCTCTAAAACAATCTGTGCTCTGTGACTGCTGCGAATGCCAAGGATCCTGTGACAACTGAGTGGAGAAAGAACATCCTGTCATTATAGTTTTAAATTGGGAAATCGACTTGAAGAATTGTTGGATTTGTTTTTATTTGCTAATGGCATCACACTTTTTTTTTTTTTTAAAAAGCATTTTAATTGCCTGGTTTGCTTTTCATGTATTTGTCACATTTTAAGGATTAATCATTATAGTTTTAAATTGGGAAATCGACTTGAAGAATTGTTGGATTTGTTTTTATTTGCTAATGGCATCACACTTTTTTTTTTTTTTAAAAAAGCATTTTAATTGCCTGGTTTGCTTTTCATGTATTTGTCACATTTTAAGGATTAATGACACTGCCTTGGCATATGTCTCTCTGAAACACGTCAAATAGCATTAATGCTGTGCTGACTGTAATGAAAATTACTCTCTCTTGGGGACTTTGTAGAAGGATATTGTCTTAGATACTGGAATCCATATGCTGTAGAAACTATGCCAAACAAACAAGGGCTGTGAGGCTTCTGGTTCAAACAAACTGGGTCGGAAGAGAGAAGCTCATGTTACTATAATTCAAAATAGCTTTAATAGTGTACAGGCATCAACTCAGACTTCTCTAGAGTACAGACATTTCAGCTTGGGTATACACAAGGGTCATCACTGGGCAAACAAATTACTATTCTTTAGAGTTAGGTTCTGATCTTAGGACACAGAACACGGTAAACAAATTTACTAGCTTAAAACTGCCCCAAAAGGTGTTACTATTCTGTTTTTCCATATCTTTCCCAGCTTTCACTTCCTATCCCCACCATGTGTTTCCTCTGCACATCTGACATATTCCAGTCCTCTCTATGAGGCAACTTGATTTATTACAGACAGGAAAAAAATCCAGCAAAAACAATCCTGTGTGGTTTTGTGTTGTTTTAATCTCCCAGGAAGGTCTGGTGTGCAACAGATCCAGGGAGAAGGTAAAAACATACAGAGAATGAGAGAGAAGGTAGAAAAGAGGTGGTAAGTGTGAGAGGACAGAGGGGAGCAGGAGAGCCTTCTGCTTGGAGATGCATCCAGCCACTGTGGCTGCTCAAGTGCCAGTGAGCCAACACCTTGCACAGGTGCTTCTGTTTGCTGCTCATGTAGACCATCCCACTGCTCACTACTTCACAGGACTCCCCTGCGCAGAATAGTGGCATCTGAATTCACCATCCC